GCGATCTTGGCTCACCATAATCTCCGCCTCCCAGGTTGAAGTGATTCTCCTGCCTCAGCCTCCCAAGTAGCTGGGATTAAAGGGGCCCACCACCACACTCAGCTAATTTTTTGTATTTTTAGCAGAGACGGGGTTTCACTATTTTGGCCAGGCTGGTCTCAAACTCCTGACCTTATGATCTGCCCGCCTTGGCCTTCCAAAGTGCTTGGATTACAGGCGTGAGCCACCTCGGCCAGCTAATAACGATTGTTAAACAAAAATCCTGAGAAACTATTGTTTTAGACTGAGCTCCTGAACTGGACCCCAGAAAACCAAACCAAACTGATATGAAGTACCTTATGCTAAATGCCACATGATGGAACTGAAACTTTAAGCTGAAACTGATCTATGTAAGCAAATAGACCCCCGAAAGACCATTCTTTTTTTCTGAAAATTAAATATTCCAGTCTTCCTGAGTTAGCTTAATAAGGAAGATTCCTCTGCTGTAGTTCTTATTAAAAAGTAACCAGAAATACCCTGATGTTAACAAGTCAGCCGTTTTTTTCTCTTGTTCTGTTTCCCTGTTCCCACCTTATAAAACCATTTTTCCACCATTGCACAGTGGAGCTCTCATTCTGTTTTATAGAATGGAGACTGCTCTGATTTATGAATTTCAAATAAAAGGCCCAACTAAATCTGTTGTAATTTTGTCTTTTGACACCATGCATAGCACCTCTTAAAATGAAAGCATAGCTATAAATGGGCAAGAGACATTGACAGACTCATGCTAGGCCGGGCACAGTGGCTCACACCTGTAATCCCAACACTTTGAGAGGCTGAGGTGGGCCGATCACCTGAGTCAGGAGCTCGAGACCAGCCTGGCCAAAATAGTGAAACCCCTGAAGCTTTTGAACTGTTTTGGTTCTGGTTTGATCTGGCATAAAGTCAGACAGACCCAGGAGCAGAACCTACCTGTCTGAGCTGAGATCTGTTGAGAAGCTTTAACTGGCCAGGCTCAGTGGCTCATGCCTGCAATCCCAGCACTTTGGGAGCTGAGGCAGGGGGATCACTTGAGCCTAAAAGTTTGAGACCAGACTGGGCAACAGTGGGACCTCCTCTCTACAAAAATTTTTGAAATTAGCTGGGTGTGGTGGTACACGCCTGTGGTCCCAGCTACTCAAGCTGCTGAGGTGAGATTGCTTGAACCAAGGAGGTCGAGGCTGCAGTGCGCCAAGATCTTGCCACTGCACTCTAGGCTTGGCAACAGAGTGAGATTCTGTCTCAATAAAAACAAGGACAAAACTCCAATTGTACAAGGGATGGGGGCAGAGGAGAGATGGGGACAAGCTAATAAATAACATCTTTGGGTTTGGTGGGACCAAATCAAAACACTAGCCAAGCAGCAAGACAAGGAGGACCCTGCCTTCCCCTTCCTGTCCCAGGAAATGTCTCGCTTCTGGGAAGTTTCCCTTATCTATGCATCCATGTAGCTCTATCCTTCCTTGCAGGCAGCCCCCTTCCTGGAAGGTGGGGGTTAACAAGATGATTCATGGAGGTAGGAGGTAGTGGAATGTCTATGTGCAAACCTACCTTTTGGTTCCCAGCGGTAGCTTCCCAGGGAGATTTGGAGAATGGGAACATGAAACGTGGTAAAAACTGCTTCCAAGAAACTCAGTGTGGGGCCCGTGAGTTCTCTGGGGTGTATAGTACAAAGAGCAGACAGTGGGGGGCCACAAGGAACCCTGGTATTCCATCTGAAGGCCTGGTTTGCATCTCCTGTCTGCCAGGGAGGATGCCCTGATGTATAGATAGCAATCCCTGCCTACCTCTAACTAAGCAGAGTACTTGAAATGTGAATATAGACACCTGTGATTTTATGTCCTGGGTAGACAAAGCCAGTTCCCGCCAGGCGTGATGGCTCACGCCTGTAGTCCCAGCACTTTGGGAGGCTGAGGCGGGTGGATCACCTGAGGTCAGGAGTTCGAGACCAGCCTGGCCAACATGGTGAAACCCCATCTCTACTAAAAGTACAAAAAGATTAGCCAGGCCTGGTGGTGGGCACTTATAATCCCAGCTACTTGGGAGGCTGAGGCAGAAGAATTGCTTGAACCTGGGAGGCAGAGGTTGTGGCGAGCTGAGATCGAGCCACTGCACTCCAGCCCGCGTGACAATGCAAGACTCTGTCTAAAAAAAAAAAATCCTTAAGATTTTTTTTTTAAGAGATGAGGTGTTGCTTAGTTGTCCAGGCTGGTCTCAACCTCTCAGACTCAAGAGACCCCCTGCCTCAGCGTTCTGAGTAGCTGGGACTACAGGTGTGAGCCACCATGCCTGGTGTATTTCCTTTTTCTCTTTCTTCCTCATTGTCTTCTCTTCTTTTCCAGTAAGGCCAAGGCAAACACCCGTGAGATTTCAATGACATTTTTTTCTCATTCACTGA